GTCCAAATATCTGATATGTAAAATGAAACAGGTATTAATTAATAAAACCATTAAAACCATTTTAGGAAACTTAAGTTCCTCGTGCTATTAAGAGTACATTTAGGAAACTTAAGTTCCTCGTACTATTAAAAGTACGTTTATAATTTACGTACTGCTTAAGAGCACGTTTATAACATAGAGTCTAAGGTGGAAACCCGGCTTATTAAACTCACAAAAAGTGTTTATTAATACGCTCTTTGTAATTTTTTTGTGAAATTCTGCAATGTTCTCACGAATGTGCGTGATGCTGGATTTCAGATTTAATTGACTTTGTGTTAAATCTGGATTTATGCCTTTAAATTGATTGCTTGTTTTTATACAATTTACTATGTCTCTATTCTGTCCCCTTGCTCATATGTATCGTGTTTCAACCTTTTCTGGTGTTATTCAACCTGCTTTCGCCCCTAGAACTTTTGATCCTCCTGCCATGTACAGGATTTGCGATTTAGCCTCGAATTTTGCGTTTCTTTGTCTGATTCATCTATAAAGATTCCCAGTTGACGACTGTTTATGTATTGATACACTCTGTGTTTTTCTTGATGCTTTACTTTCTTATTATTAAAGTATTTATCTAAATGCTTGCGCATACAATTCATCGATCTAAATATTTTGACTATGTTTCGCATATGTGTTGATAGGTCTAAAGAGAACTGTATGTTCCTCCTTCATTATCTGTTTGAGGTATAATCTGTCCTTAGAATATTGACTCCTTTATGATGCGAAGGCTAGAACTATCCTTACCTTACTTCATGCTTTTTTTTGTTGCTCTAGAATTACAGCTATCGTTTCTCATTGTCGCTATGTTGTCCTGACTATGCAAGAAACAAGGTCTCCATGTTGATTGACATTTTCTCATTTATTTTATTTTCCCCTCTCCCTTTCCCTGCTCACCCCCCCCCTCCCTCTTCCCCACCAAAACACTGATAATACAAGTGCCATGTCAGAGAGTATTTGGAACACGCCGATAGTGACATACATACACTTTGAGGGAAATTACCTGTTGTTCTTTATTACAATTTTGTACACACCGTTTCAATGAGATCTTCTTCTTTTCTATTCGCTTTTTATTTTTGCGTTGTGCTAGTTGTCTGAATCTCGCCTTTTGTTAATCCCTTGTGATTGTCCAGCCTTCTGTCAATATCTTGCGAGTGATACTCCTACCCCAGCGTTGCTCAGTGGTGTAGCTTCTTAAGTATATAAAGTCCTTCTCATTCTACTCCTTGATTGCTATTTTTTTTGTCCGCTCGTGCGCTTACTTTTGCTAGTGATTTAGCAATGTTAGTGTAACTGAGGTGTTATCCTACCTATAAGGATGTTGGTAAAAATGTAGAGTATAGAGAGTAGCTAAAAAGACCCGACCAAAGTGAACAATAGACCTCTTCTCAAGTACGTTTATCTCAGCTAGGAGAAGTCCCTAGTCTGATAAAGCCGAACTGAGTTTTTATTTTTGTTTTCTAGTTAACTAGACTCAGGTTTCTACTTGAGTGTTTTTCTCACATGCGGTACTCGGTTCTACCGCTAATATTTCTGATAACTCTACTACCAGGAAGATTCCACATGATGTAAACTGCAACCTGTCTTAGTCAGTAGTGAAAGAGGTTATTAAAAGACCGAACTCTGCCAACTTCAGGCTGAGCCACGACAAATGTGCATTCGCAGTCGGGACAGCCAATATATGCCAATATATTAGACGTTAAACCATAACAGACCCAGAAAACCAAGAACGCATGATTGACTAGCCACTAGCAAAAACCAAGAAGGTGCTACATCGTGCGCTCGGCCTAGCAAACAACTTTAGACACCTAATCGGAATAAGAAATGGGGAGAAGTCACAGACACTATCACGTGTTCAGTCACACTAGCATGCCCGATGGACGAGTATGGCTCTCATAGCCGTTGTAGTGGTTCGGGGAAGATCGACGAGAAGAAGTGGACAGTAAATTCCCGTTTGGAGCTTGGGCCAAGTGAGTCGACGATGGAGGATATGTGCGTTAATTCAGGCCGATGCAGACAAAAACTGACACCATCGAGAGTGCCACGTATTCGCTTGCTGAGCTACTAAGTAACGTACCCACCTCTGTGGTTCGGATCGTGTCCGTGTGGTGCCGTAGAATGGGTTAGTGCAGAGTACGAAACGCCGAGTAGAACCAAGTTATCCGTCATAATTCGGTTGAAGAGCGAGGTTGGGGGTGAACCGATGTAACACCAGACCACGGATGCATTCGGTATGTGCTGGTTGGCCTGTATTGGAAGTACCATAAGCGGAACCGACAGGCGCGATGACTTAGTTTGGACCGAAATTTGAAAATGGCACTTCGACAGCGTGATTAGCCGGGGTATGGAGAACATCTGTTGATGTGTTAGAGACGGGTGTTGGTACGAAGGTTGTTCTACATGCTGGAAAAAGGATCCAAGATGCTAATGGAGGGTCCAGATACCGTGGAAGTCGAGGCGCTCCTGTAATCTCTGAAGGATATCAGGGCCAATGGGAGGCATTTTCGGGCCTACCAGGATGCGTCGGATCAGTTGCGGAATACAGGCAAAGTGGTTGGTGATAAATTTATGGCCACCGGGGCAGACAAGGCAGAGAGAGCCGTCGGTGTGGTAGTCGAGGAATGTGAACATGTATGTATTCGTTAAAATCATAGCACAGAGCCGGGTTGGTGTAGGCTCGAAGTAACGGTTGAAGCTGTCCTGTCTGGCTTTGTCCCGATTTGAGGCTGGCGGTTTGCCCATGAGTAGTTAGCAGTAGTATTGGCGCCGGGCCATTACCGCAATCTCCTTGTTGGACTAGCGTTTTGTTGAGTTCTTACTGATGTCGTTACAGCGTCGGCGGAGGGCTACATGGTCGGGTGTACGCCCGTCCGTGGTTTTGTATACAGTTTTCAGGTGGGCATAGATACTGTACGGGAAGCGCAGTGATGGTTTGTCCTGGGCCCAGGCGAGTTGTAGTCCCCCTCTGAGATAGTCCGCGAATGGTCGGGTGGGGAGCAGGCCACAAACATGAAGTAAGTTTGTTTGATGATTGGGAAACCTAGGGTATTTGGTGCCCGTGATGATGGCTGCTACTTGGATGAGTGCTGAGTTATAGCTCTTCAACAGGGGGTCCAGCGCATCCTTCCATATAGGCGCAGCCCAGGTAATAATGTTTGGACTATATGTAGCCGTGGGTAGGATGAATGTTTGCTGCATTGTTCATGTTGAGTCGTTGTGGGTTGAAGAGCGTCATCCTTATTGGTCCTATTAAACATTGTTCATCCGCGGTCAACACTACTGGGCTCTCCTCCTTCATGATGTCAGCCAAAACTATATCGTTACCTGTCGTCGAAGAGTCTGTGGTGGAAGGTTGAGGCTGTGCCGGGAAGTCCGTTGGTACGTGGAGTCGTCCGGGCTTTTTAAACAGGTTTGGACGGGAGATATAAGATAAAGTGGTGGCGATTGTGGAGCGCTTGGGCGTGCCAGTATTTTTCAAATACTGATTGGGATGGAGGCCTGCCGATATGGAAGATTGCCTGGAAGAAGAGCCATACCGGAGTTATATCATCCATTTCGTATTTTCGTCAAAAGCAGTAGAGGCTGAGAAGCTGGTGGGGTCGGAC